TCATAACAGGCCCACAAACGAGCCAGTCTTGGCGAAAAAATGAAATGGGATGAATAGGGCGAGTTACAGAAGAAGGAAAGGGAAGGGTGGGGTCCACTAGGGCCATAATCATGTTTTTGCAGTACGGCGTCTGAACGTTATTTTGGAGTCGTTTGGAGCGGCGTTCCTGCAGCAGCGTCCCACGATTTCGATCGAACGCCGAACGCGAATAAGAACCCTCTTCCCAGCTTCCTCACTCGGCTTTTTACCCCGTTACCCTAGCCGAGAAACATTTCGCCCCGCTTCCTAACCCTCGATCTCTCCCCTTTCCTCCTCTTCTCCGATCGGTTCCATCGCGTGGAAAGAAAGAAATTGAGCACAAAACTCTTCCCCTCTGCTATGGTATTTTTTTCTGCTGAAACTTTAATGCTTTTAAGGTCAGTTGTGGGAAGTGTTCGCTTTCTCTCATAAGGTCAGTTGTGGAAAGAGTTTCATAGCCATTACACGTGGATTGCTGGCTGATTACACTTTTGAAAGAGGTGATGGGATATTATTTGGGAAATTTGGTAGTTTGTAGAATGGTGTGTAATTGATTTCAATTATTTAGTTTGATTTGAAAAAAATAAGAATCATCTTTGAGGGTTTTAAGAAGTACTGAACTAAATTCATTATTGATCAAGATCAAACTAAAATGCAATTTTCCTTAAATTTCTAGTAATACCTGCATACTCTTACTTCTGAGATTGCTTCATAACTTGAAGTGTGACTGTATGTAGGCTTTCTGTTATTTATGGTTGGTTTTGGCCGTTCATTTCTTTTGAGATCATTTTTTGGCTATGAGTTTGCAGATTCCGTTAAGCTCTGTCACTTCCACTATTGATGGTTTGAAGAGATTGTATACTGAAAAATTAAAGCCACTGGAAGTTACCTATCACTTCAATGAATTTGTTTCTCCTTCACTGGTAAGTTGTGGTTGTTCTATCTTAATTCCTTAACAAAGATATAGTCAATTCCTGGTAAATGCTAAATTCAACATTTGATTTTAATTCCCGGAAGGTCTGACTTTCATCCAATTTGTTGGTAGAAAGCATATCCTCTATATGCTGTTAGTTTAATACTTGAGGATTTATGCTGCGGCATATTAATTGTTGAAATTGTTCAACCCATCAAATTCAACGGGATTGTATTTTATTAAAAGGATAAGAAGCGTCCTCTCAAAAGCTGTTGCATTCTTAACCGGCTAAAGCAGAGCCCTTTTTTCTCGTCTTCGAATTTGTTATATAGCTGCAGCCACCATGCCGCTGCTCCCAGTACCAAATTCAGCCTGGCTTTCTTATACAACTGCTTATAGTGAACTCTTGATCTTGTTTACACTACAGTATATCTATTCTTCGTTTGGTTTCCTTAAGCCTTAAATTCACATTTTTCTCTATCTTTCCGTGAGAAATATTTTGGAAAGTTCGTGGAAGTTATATTTTCAGCTCACTCCGAGTAGAGATTTGATGAATTTCGATGGAGGGCTTGAAGAGGAGTCGTTGAATTGCAAGTTCGGCTACTTGCTAAGGATTGTAACTGCTGAGGATTTTAATTGGCCGCATATACTGCAGTTTCTGGAACTTAAAATTCTACTTTGTATCTTTCTTTTTTTCATTATACTTGTGACTCTGTACTTAGTTTGTTGTTTACTGCAATTACTGCATCAGCGTTGCTGCAGCATCTGTTTTTCTGTCGGAATCAAAGTCCAAGAGATTTGATTTTGGGTAGATTTCAGATTAATCACTCTGACATTCATTTTGTGTATCATTAATCAGTGTAAATTAATGACCACAACTTTACTCGGGCAAATAGCTTGGATTAGTAGCACTGTTCATTCTGCATATATTTCTTTTTGGTTTTTGTGTATGGAAGCAAAGTAATTATTCAATTGATCAACTGTAATAGAGGGAATTTAGAGCATTTGAGTGATGGTGGAGAGGAACCCAAATATTTATTTGTTTTCTTTTCAAAGAACAATTTTAATTTACAAATGAATTCCAGTACTCCGTTTGGCTATTTGTTTCAGGATTTAAGGTTTTTGGAATGATAAATCCTTAAATCCATTAATTTTAACCTATAAAGTATAGGATTTGGCTTATCCTAAATTTAACATATTAATGGTGCTGAAATATGGGATTTAAGCTATATCAGGCTATGGTGCATTCGTAATTTTATTATGTTTGGAAATGAGTTTCTGCTTATGAATTATCAAATATGTCGTTATCATAGTTCTGTTTTAAACAGCTTCACAAAGTAGAGGCAAAATAGTCATTTTTCCAGAAACAGCTGCCCCACAACTGTTCTCACACAGCTGCAACAAACAAGCTATCAGCTTCCCCGCAGCAGCTTCCTGGAACAGCACAACTGCAGCTGAAAAGCTGCAGCTACGCCAAACAAACCATAAGAGAGTTTGGAGGGAAAGTAGGAAGGAAAGTTTTTGAATTGCTGGGAGAGGATTCTATTAAAAGGGAAAAAATATTACATCAGTACTACGCACGTAGAGTAACGTGCGTACCCAATGAAATCACGCCACGATACCCCGCGCGACGCA